AGCCTTATCCCCCCCCCCCCCCCCCCCCCCCCCCCGTCTTCACCCCTTGGACGCGCGTGCTTCATTCAGTGCTACGACCCCGCATCACACCCCGACGTGGCTAGCGGAAGACTAAGTCCCGACGAAGCCTTCGACGACGTAACGTGCGCTTTGCGTCGCAGGGACGACGACAGCAGCAACGAACACAGCGAAGTAAGAGGCCGGCCGTGTTTGTTCCCTCCCACGCGTGCGAGGCTTTAGTTGTGCATCTGCCAATCCACCCACCACGCGACCGGAGTACTGTCTGCCTTTGTGTTGTGGCGCTATAGAGTTTTGGAAGCGGAATGCGGTTTCGTTTGCCGGAGACGTCGAGGCCAGGTATGTGTGTCTACGAGCAAGTACTCTCAGTGTTTTGTTTGTGGGTACACCGTGGGCGAGGCTCAATACCTCATATCGTTGCTGTAGGACTAAGCTAGGGGTATACGCGATGCAGGTGTGCTGACTGGCGAAACCTCGAACAGCCTGCTCGAACGGACGAAACGGCTTAAGGAACTACTGTTTGTACTTAGTTCACCGCATAGCAATCTGCAAAAGTGACGCGTGCATGGATTCTTGTGCGCCTCTCCTTGGCGCTTTTTCTGTGTCCTTTATTGTTTTTACTTATGTCGACGGGGCAGCAGCAGATGGCGGTGCTCTTCTGCGACTTCATGGACTACTTCCGAGACCTCTCGGCGGCGATCGAGAACGACGACTACTTCCAGGCGGTCACGCTCAACGCGTGGGTGCTGCCCGCCCAAGAATGCCCGGCAGAAGGCTACGACGACGGCAACAAGAACGCCAACAACAACAACAACACCCGCAGCTGCCGAGCGCTCGTCACGCACCCGGACGGCGTACAAGAGGCAAGGAAAGCCCGCTCGCGTTTGTTTGTGGTGGTGTCCGCGTGGTGTGTGTGCAGACTACGTAAAGCTTTACGTTTGTTTCCATTCGCGCATCATTGTTTGCCCTTTATTCAGAGAAGTAGTAGCAGTCTTGTGTGCATGTTTTCTCGCTCTTGTCTTTTCTCGGGGGTTCTGACGACCCCCCGTGGCGAGATTGAGTGGTGGTGGGTGGACAAAGGCTGCTTGCTTGGAGGAGTGGGGGGGAGGCGAACACCAACCAACGCGATCGATCGCACTTTGTAAAATACACATATCTATCTATCCGCGACGTACCAAGTGACGTATATTAGGGTCCTACACGAGGATGGGTTTGAGCCCTAACCCTTTTGACACCATCCCTTTATCGCGCCCAGTCCGGGTCGGCGTGCGGCTGCCGAAAACCCATCGCGTCTGTCTCTCGTTTACTTGAAACGTGAATCAAAGTGGATCACCCTCATCTTGTGGATCACCCCTCACGGTCGTGTGTATAATTGACACCTTTGTGCCGAATGCGCGTGCTGTCGTTCAGGTCCTAGAGATCGAAAACGGTCGAGGCATCGGGGCAGAGGACCACGACCTCATGCGCAAGCGGCTGGAAGAGCAGGGGGTGCAGGACATCGCGTCGGTTTCCCTGCACGAACAATAATAAACCGAAAGCGTCGACGACGTGCTTGGCGAAACCAGAAAATCGACTGCATCCATCCGCCCTGGCCTCGGAGGAAAGCTCTTGTCTTTCCCCTTCCTCCACCACCACGCGAAGCAATTCGGCGAGGTCGAGGATTGGCATGCATCATCGAGAATGTCAATAGAGAGCACGAGCTTTTGGGCAGCTGGAAGCTCCTGCTATTATTTTTGCGGATGTTTAGTGTGTACAGTATGCGTTTCCTTTCACGTGCTGGTTGATGCTACGGGGTTGCGCTTTTTCACGCAAACAAACTTTACGGACTGCCAAGATGGGGGAGGGATGAGGATTCAGCAGCAAGCAAGCGTGATTAGGGGTTTTGGTCGTGTCGTGCGCGGGTTTTGGATTATTTACAGCGCACTGTATTTCGTGAAAAGGAGACAGTATGCTACCGTTTTTGTAATTCAACTGTTTCGCGCGGCGCAGAGAGAGGCGCTTAGTTTTCGCAGGCGTCGGAGTGGTCGTGGTGGTGGGAGCATGCATATTTTTCGACGTCCACCTGCAAACCCATCAAAACTCTTCAGTTATTATGGCGCCCCCCCCCTCCCGGGAGACGGTGGCGTACCAATCCCGCCGCCGCCGCCGCCAGGAGAAGTGAATCGACAACGGCACAACAACGGAACACCCTGTCGCACGGAACATTGAGTGAGATAGTACGTGACCCACGCGAGCTCGGAGAGCGGAGGGAGGGGGGGAGGGTCGCAAAGTGGTCGCAGAAAAGTCGATCGCGCCCGCGGTGGTCCAGCCGGCGTTGGTTGTAGCTAGGTCGGGAAGGTTCGAATCTCAGCAAACAACGAGTTTCTCGCGCAACTCGAGTCTACCGTACCACAGCAGTATTAATGTGGCGTGGTTACGGGGGGCGGCCGCAGGGCGTGTCTGAAACCCGCCACTCGTTTCCCCGCGCAGGAGCGAGCGAGGAGAGAGAGCGCCTGCGAAAAGCTCGCGCTAGAACAATCGCCCCCGTTGCAAAACGAGTCGTCGGTCGTTGGTGGTGTTGTGTGCCACGAGACACACACACCAAAGGCCAAGGAGAGCGAGTGAGACTGCAAGAATCCCAAAAAGTAAAAAAAATGGAACGCATCGATGGCGTACACGAAGAAGAATATTAGACACCTTGCTTGGAAGAAATGGCATAAAACAGGTGCGTGCACCATCTGGTTGTTGCGCGAGAGAAAACTCGCAGTAAACACACGTAAAAAATTGCTGGGCCTGTTCATTTGAGAAAGCGAGGGCATAATACGGAGGGAAGGAGCTGGGGAGCCTTGTCTTTGTCTCGTCAACAACCAAGGTTTTGCCCCGCAGAGGATTGTTTTGTCTGGGGGGGACCCCGAATGGAGAGTTCTTCAGCGAGAGACGCAAGCCGTGGCGCACTTTGTCGGAGCCACGGGTGACGAACCGCATCGCGAAAAAAAAAAGAAGAGTGGTCGCACAAGATGAAAACCGTCAGATGAACCAAATTTTAATTTTGTTTCTCTTCGGGAATTTCGAAGTTTTCAACAGATGAGCACGACCGACCGACTGACTGTAGGCATGTTGCGTTGCTCCAAGAAGGTAGGTATGTGTGGAGATTCGAGTCAGTCATGTCCTCCGGGAACACGAGGAGGGCAGGCATCGCTGGCTGCCAACGCGCAAGGCCCGGGGAATGCGGATGTATGCAGATACGACGCGAAACTATGCACACGCCGTGAACAATTTGCACCACCCATAAAAGGCTCGTGACACGCTGACGTGGTTCACAGCCACACCCGGCAAAAAGCAGCGAGACATCAATTATCCGTCTAGATTCATCGAAAAAAACAACTTTTTCATTTCTTCCCTCGGTTGACAGGAAACCGGGCAGCCTGGCAAGCGACCTCCCTCCCTCTCTACCGACCGACCGACTCGATGCCATCGTCTTCCTTGCCTACCTACGCTCTCAAACGAATTCGCCTTGAGAAAAACAACGATACAACAGGAGCGAAAAAAAAAGCGGGGACACGGGCAGCCATTCAAAAAAAAAAAAAACACCGTCCGTTCGAACTCACATCACATTTTTGAGAAAACCATCGAACGGCCATACCAGGCAGCAGCCC